TCGATTTTATGAATGTAACGCGATGAAGGTTTCGTTACGCGATTATGCTAATTTTTAGGCCAAGTTTTTTAAAAATTTATCAGTTATACGTTCTTAACAGTATTAGTAGTATATGGTTTTAATCTCTAAGGGCAACTATTGAGTATTCATATGTCTCAGTTATTGACAATTCCCCCACAAAATAGTTATAAATATAGCCTAATCTACACAAGGATTATTATGAAAAAATATGTTAAATAAGTAGCATAACCTATTTTTCTGCCTAAATATATGAAAAACCAGGAAAAAGCACCAGTTTCATTTAGTACAATGATAAATATGGGACAAAAAAAGCTTGGCTAAAGAAAAAATAAAAATTATGAACTGTTCAAACAGAAAAGCGATACGTTTTCAAATGATTACTATTAGAATAATATTTATACTCGATTGAATTGTTGGCTAATGCTTTGACAGAATGTATTTTCTTTGTTTCTGGTACTGATTTAAGTGACTGAAAAAACCTTCCAATTGTGCTTTGGAATCATCGATTCGATATTGTTCCATCTCAATGAGTTCAATCGCTGTCGTTTTTGTTTGACCAATGCGAACGAAATCAGCTGCTGAAGCACAACTTTGTCCACTTAATATTGCTAAATAAACCAAACGTTTAATTGTCCTCCCGATGCTGTCGACGACATCCTTGCCGTGGGCTGTTGCGAAAAAATGCCACGATAAATGAACCTAAGTAAGGTAAAAGATATATTATAACAGTAGAAGACCTTCTGTTTAAGAGTTTACTTTGAACTTCTCAGACAAACGACAGAGATTTCCAAATAAAAATCGTCGTTTAAACTGTTGTGGAGTTCCATCCGAAAACACGTGAATTTGTTCCCAATGTAAGAATTTATTTTTCAGAGAATTGAACAAATGATCCCAAACAGCATCAACATGGTATTTATCGTGAGATAATTCATCAGAAACATAAACATATGAGTAACCACCATTCAAATACCAAACATAATAAGGAAATTTTCACTAAAATCCGCTTGAACACAGATTGTTTCATTGTCTAAATTCAATTTCAAGTCTTCAAAATAAGTTGATTGTTGTCGTTTTATGAATACATGGCACAAAAAAGTCAACCTTTTCCTGTAAAACTTTTACATATTCTTTAACTGCACCAGTAAATTCTTCCTTTTCTACAGAAACCATGTTTTTTTATCCATTGATACCATTGAATTTGTTTATTGGGCTCATTGATATATCTTCTTATCTTAAAATCAAAGTTGTTCAAATATGGTGAGCAACGACTGAACATACAGTTCTCATCTGTTTCATTGCATATCATAGTTGATGTAAAAGCTTGAAGAGAATTTAAGTTAGGACAGTTAACATATTTCGACAATGGTTTCAATAAAATGTTCACGTTTTCGTGATACACACATAAA